CGCGGTACGGCAGGATCGCCTGGCTCTTGTCGTGCCCGAACCCGCTCGACGGGTGCCGGTACGTGATCTCCCAGCTGCCATCAGGCTGCACGATCGCGTCGTTTGCAACGATCTCGATCTTCGCGCTCTCCTCGTCGCCATGAGGTTCGAGAGTACGGCGCGGATCAACGGTGCCATGCCGCTGCACGTGTATGAAATCGGCGTTCAGCGGGCACCCGGGGCGGGACATCACAGGCCGGAGGCGTACCTGGAGATGATGACAACCGGGATGTCGTGTTCTTTGCAGTACGCGTAGAAATCTTTGAAGCCAGGGTCCAGCCAAATATCTGATTTTAATTATGATTAACACGGCCATCTGCGGGAGACTAAAGCGGACAGAGGCGCACTCTTCTTCAGGACCTCTTTGCACTCCTCGAAGGTATGCCCATTGGCGGATACGCTCTGTAGCATGCGCCGGAACTCATCCCTAACACACGACAGTCAGATGCAGAACGGCAGCCGACGGCGGGCGACACTCACCTGAACGTCTCCCTGCCAGCAAGGATCTCGAGGTTTCCCTGGCGCCTCTTCTCGAGCCCGTAGCCAAGGGTGTCCGTCATGACTAGGTAGCGATATCACACATATCCACAAACAGACACCAGTGAGTAGAATCAGTGGTTCAAACAGATATCAACCTACGCACAGTCGTTGGAATCACGATTAGTGATGGTCCCATCCCTGTAACGCGCCGCGACCCAGAGACACAATCAGGCAACATGATGATGAAAGATCGTATGTGAGATCAATAGATTATGGAGGCATGTTGCACATCAGCACAGATTGAGGGATGCGATGGCGGATCGGAGGCGGGGACAATAGGCGCGTTCGTGCAAGGCAGTGGTAGCAATTCCCAAGCAACAGGGTCAGCACAAGCCTCTAACAGGTGGAAGAGTAGGAGAAAAGTATAGAGGCCATCCGGACGAACCATGAAAGGTACCAACCAGTCGGAGAGGACCACGAATCTCTTGTCTGCGTGCAACGGCGGGTACGGCATCGTGCTCAAGGGCACCTCAGGACCGGACTCTTGCGTCTTCGACATGTCGTTTGTAGTAGGTATGCGTCTATGGAGAGTCTAGCGGGAGTCTAAAACCGTCTAGGCGAGCGTTGGGAGTGAATGCTAGGCTGGACGTATCGCCGCAGAATGTGGGGGTTCGACAAGATCGAAAAGATTACCGGTGATCGGCGCGGGGCGCGAGAGAATCTTATCTTATCATTTTCGCTTTTGGAAGAGGCAGTCTGAGTTCAGAGACTTGCTCTAAACTTCGACAACTACGCGCTAGCACTTAACTGTCCGATGCGCTGGTCAGTGACTGGTCGCTCTGGTCAGCCACTGGTCAATGACCGAGTCTGACATGACCGTGAATGATCGGTTTCCGGGTCCCACTCCAAGTAGCCAACCACGTCTTAGAACGCCATCAAGCCCTGCCGCCCATTGTGGTCTGAAGTGCTCGAAATTGGCGTCTTACTTCACGAAACCATCCAGTCATTCACAGTACTCAGCGGCCAACTGCCAGTTAATGGCTGCGAGTGGGATGACTCAGCCATTGATTGCACAACGCAGGTTCGATGCCCGTATAACAATTTTGGTGCACGTTGAGAGGCAAGCTGGCTAGCTTTGCACGCAACGCTTCTTCACTGCTTGAAAGTCTCGGGGGGCCGAACTCACCGGGTGAACGGGCTGTTTTCATATCAGTGCTTATATCGTAAGTACCCTTCGAGCGCAAAGGTGTGTCTGAGGTTGCTCTCGTCTGACTAAACCAAGGTTAACTTCTCATATCATATAGATGCCGCTAGATCTATATCCTGGACGATGGGGTATACCGTATGCTGAAATGGCCGTCACGTAAACAGATGGTTAGCTCGAGCACATCTGCACGGAAGATAATCACATTCTCAGTAAGTAATGCTTATACTGTATGATTGAGGATTTCTCAGGATTAATTATCACTTGGTGAATCTCCGCTAGGCGGACGCGCAGCCTGGCAGAGCTTCCGTTGTTCAAGTTATCACTGAAACCCTTCATCTGTTCGTTGAAGATGATCTTCCCTTCCGTTCCATCTTGTTGCTCACACGTTGTGGTTACATCCGCCTAAGGACCGCGTCTCAGCAACAGAGCTAGCGCTCCGCGGTTATCTTGTGGTGTATCTTTGTGCCTGCAAACGACAGCACCTTCTGTCACTTGAAAAGGAGATCAGCGGGAAGGAACACGACGTGTCTAGGTTGATGAAGAGCTATGGCTTGCGATTGGACCAGAGCGAGCGAGGATACCCGAGCGTAATTGAGTAACCCTCCGCTCCCTGGGAAGTAAGGTGTCAATGTGTAGCGCTCGAAGATGCATAAAATTCTTGCGGGTAGCAGCAATATTCTTCACTTTCCCTTCCCCTCCTCCTTCCCCTTTCATTGTCCGTGGTCGACTCGTGATTCACGCCCACCGTTGCAGCTGCTCAAAGTTGCACACCTTCGTTTGTACTGATCTCACGTCTTTCTCTCTCTAGTTTTACCACTGTGACTCTGGGCGCCATGTTTTCTTTGAAGCGACACTTTGTACTCGCCGGGCTCTCCGCGATCCCATTGGCTACTGCGAGTAGCCACATGATCATGGGAGGCCTCAAGCCCATCGTATACGAAAGAATCGACCCTATCGTCAACGCCGGTGCTGTCAGTGCATTCTTTGCGTTTTTTTTTTTTCAATTTAATCCTGAATTTTGAGAGCTGCAGGTCAGCGGTCATCTGCACGCCTTCATGGGAGCAAACAACGTCGATCAGAACGCCGACTACGATCAGAACAGGAATGCCCAGTGCACGTCCGTCCCATTTCAGGACGTTGACAAGTCCTCCTACTGGGCTGTAAGTCGCTGATCTCCCCTCATCTTTTGTCCTGGACGGCGTCCTGACGCGCCGTGCGCTAGCCACCGATGCTGTACCAGGACCAGACGACGAAAACGTTCACGGTCATGGAGCCTTCGTTCAATATCTACTACTTCTTCGATCGTAACGGTACGGGCGAGACGGTGCAGGCATTCCCGCAAGGCTTGAGGGTGAGCTGATTTTTTTTTCTCGTTCTCATTTCAGCGGCGGTTGGTATGCTTTGGTTGCGCTGTTTGAGTGCTGGAGAAGATCTCCTGCGAGAGACTTGATGTCAGATGATGAGGGTGTGGCGGACAGGGTTTACGCATCACAAGAGATGCCGGCAGTCCTGACGTGTCTTTACGTGCTATCTGCCAGTCCTTATCTCCTCAGCTGTAATAAGCTCTGTCCGCCTTCGCTGGCAAACCCACACCCGATGACTTGTAGCCTCTCCCAGATGCGATCACGACACGTCACGGGCACGATATTAATCTCTAACTTCAGATGGTCGCTGGAAGCCCTACGCGCGACACCTACAACGCCTCAAACTTCGCTGACCAGGCAATCAGCTTCGTCTGCCTCGACTACAGCGGAACTGTCTCCAACAACCCCGCTTACGCTCAGCGCCAGGACATCAACTTCCCCGACATCAACATGTGTCAGGACGGCATCCGCCTCCAGGTCTTCTTCCCCCAGTGCTGGGATGGCGTCAACCTCGACAGCTCCGACCACAAGTCACACATGGCCTATCCCGTCGACACCTACGACGGTGGCCACTGTCCCGAGTCGCACCCAGTCCACACCGTCGCGATATTCTACGAGCAGATTGTGCCGGTCAGCAACTTCAACTACTGGGGCCAGGGAGCCTACGCCCTGTCCACCGGCGACCCGACTGGTCTGACGTACCACGCGGACTTCCTGATGGGATGGAATCAGTCTGTGCTGCAGGACTCGGTCGACAACTGCCACAACATGAACGGTGACATCACTCTGTGCCAGGTTCTTGTACCGTACATCAATGAGGATGCCGCGTCAGCATGCACTCTGGATGCTCAAGTCGTTGACGAGGATGTCGGACTCGGCGACCAGATCTCGGCGCTTCCTGGATGCAACCCCGTGCGGACGG